GAGCTTGAATCATCGGCCTTGTGATTCAAACTAACCTTGCAGTCCAGCTCATTAACCCATAGCACCATGTTGTTGTTGTTGTCAGGTACCATCGAGTCAGAACTGACTCATAGCGACCCCATGCACAGCAGAACGAAACAATGTCTGATCCTGGGCCAACCTCACTACTGCCGCCACACTTGACGCCATCAATGATGCCACCTGGCCAATCCATCTCATTAGAGGTCTTCCTCTTTTTCTCTGACCTTCCACCTTACCCAGCATGACATCCTCCTCCAACGATTGTTTCCTCCGGACAATATGTCCAAAGTATGAGAGATGAAGCTTAGCCATCTTGGCCTCCAAGGAGCACTTTGGCTGCACTTCTTCCAAAACAGATCTATTGGTTCTTTTGGCAGCCCATGGCACTTTCAGTATTCTCCTCCAACACCACAACTCAAAGGCATCAATTCTTCTACGATCTTCCTAATTCACTGTCCAGCTTTCGCATAGCACCATACCTACCCTAATATAATTTTCATTTTATTAAATAAACTTGTTATATTCAAACAAGAGAAATAGAAGCACAAATCTGAAATAATTTCAATGGAAACATTATAATGTGTTTGTTACACCAGATGATTAATGCTCTCTAATTTTCTCTTTTTAGTGAAATTTCTGACTTCACATAAAATTTTTTTTTTTTTTTAATTTGAACACTTACTACCTGGAGCTCTGGTAGCGTAGTGGTTACAAATTGGGCTATGAACCGCAAGGTCAGCAGTTTGAAACTACCAGCTTTTCCGTGGCAGAAAGATGAGGCTTTCTGCTCCCATAAAGATTTACAGCCTCGGAAACCCTGCACAGGGTCACTGTGAGTTGGAACCAACTCCACGGCACATAACCATCACCACTACATGCAAGCATACATTAGAACACTTAAGATTCCAATGGTCTGGTAGAGAGAGAGAGTTTTGTTTTCTATAAAACTTAATATGATGATCAGTGTATGCAGTTCAATACATGAAGTGCTGTTAAGTCATGCAAAGGCAATGCTGTTGCTATTGTTAAGTGCCATTGAATGGGTTCTGTCTCATTGTGACCCCAGGTACAACAGAACAATACACTACCCAATCCTGCACCATCCCCACAATTGTTATGTTTGAGCCCATTGTTGCAAAGGCAATTGTTCTTGTTGTTAAGTGCTGTTGAGTCAGTTCTGACCCATAGCGACTATGCATAACACAACGCCACACCAGGACTCAGGCAATAGGCTTATTTTAATTCTTCTAATTATGTACCTGTGAGACATCCATACTTTAGGACTAGACTGGAGTGCAAGGGAGGTTCTGTTTTGGTTTTGGAAGTAATATACTGATAGTGGGGAACTGGAAATTCAAATAACTCAAATGGTATCTCATCAGGTAAGGTTAATTAGCAACCATCTCTCTCTTACACACACATACACACACTCACACAACACTCACATTCCCAAAGGGGTAAACAATGGGTTTACTTACCTACCTTAAGTTGCCTGAAATTTCTACCTAGAAATCTTTACCTATAGCTGTTAAGGGATTTTTGTGAGGATCTTGGATCCTCTCTGAAATGTGCAGATTAAAATAAATTAAATTCTATCGCTATGGGTCTTAAGCCTTATGGAATTCAAGTAAAAAGAAAAGTATGGAATTCAACATAAATATTTGTGTTATTAAAATGCTTGAAGCCTTGTGCTAAGATATAAGGTTGTCTCCGTCTTGGAGTAGCACAAGGAAAGGCACTTTTAAAGTAAGATGCCATTGTAAGCTACTCCTGTGAAATATGATCATTATATTGCTAAAGCAAAGAGTAATAGTTTGTAAAGGTGTACTCAGATTTCTCGATCTGACTCAACCTCGTGGTTGCCAAAACGGTATATGCGTTTTTTGTATTACTCATTGAAAAAACACGGACTAATGTCTCAAATTAAACCACGTGTTCTAATTTTAAGTTAACAAAATAAATTATTGCTGACCCACAATATCGCCCCATTATCTAACTTCCTAACAGAGATCCATGCCTTTAGCCTTAGGCCATCACATAAAAAGGAGTGCGGGAATATGATTGGATTTAAATTCTAATATGGTTTGATGAAAGTAAGCCTTCACTAAATCTTGTTTTCCACTTCACTATAATGCAAGACGGTATTAGATAACCTCTTCAAGGTCCCTTTTATATGCAGGATTCTGCTATTAAATGCAAACGTAAAGTTCTGTAAGAAAATTGTGAATTGAAGGCCAAGAAAAGCACAGAGAACGAAAGAATCTGTTCTTTAAACAGCCTTCCCGGGAAGAGCATCCCGAGCTAGCAACCGAGCGCGCCTGGGCACCACGTGTCTGTACCCGCAGCGGGATTGGCTGAGTGCATTTTAGCGCTGCCGTCTTGGCGTGTCGGGGTCTGCCCAGCTGCCAGTGGAGACCGGACTTGGAGGGAAGAGGCCGCAGGCTGAGCGTGGTGGGGTGGGGGGCGGGAGGGGGGTGGGGGATCCCTAGGCCAGCGGCCCGGAGTCTTTGAGGGCCGGAAGCGGCGCCAGCTGTCTTGCTCTGCCACAACTTGCCCTGACAAGACAGGATTCATCCTGCACCCTGAGAGAAAGCCGGCCTGCCTCTACTAGCTCTGCTTCTACGCCTCGGCGGGCATCGCCTGCGCCAGCAGCTCCACTAGGGTCTGGATCCCCTTTGCAGCCCCCATCTGCCTGCAGCGCCCGGCACCGCCGAGGAGCGCGCAGCTGGGGTGAGCTGAGACCCGGGATGCGCTAGGCGCCCGCGGAGTCACCAGCGGACGGAGCATTTTGGTGTCAGCAAAGCCAGGCCCTCATCCCGCCTCCTGCGTCTGAGAGGTGGACCGGTTGCACTCTGCAGCTCTTGCTGACTTGGCCACCGCAGCCCCTAGTCCTCCTCTGCCATTTAAGGAGGGGCTCCAAGGCCCGATCAGACCCGGCGGCCTTTGTCTTTGCGGGTTTGGCGGTCGGGGCGCGCAGTGCACCTAGGACGGAGGCACAACGCTGGGTTCGGGGCCGGCGAATGTGAGTTGGGGAAGGGACGAGCAAGCATTGCCCCTTTCCTGTTCCGGCCATTTTGTGACCAACATCCGATCTAGGGGCCAGGGTGGGCCAACAGTCCGGCGCCCAGGACAGGGTGGTGACGGCGATATCTGATGTAGGAACCGAGGCGGGGGTGTTCAGATCCCAAGTGCCTCCTCACCATGACTGCATTTGGGGCGAGTCGGGTCGCACCCCACGTTCATATCTGCACGCTTGGCCCAGAGCGTGGGTTAATCCTGTTATCAGACTGGAGGCAGAGAAAATAAGAATATGGGTCCAGGAGCCGATAGTTACTAAAGTAGGAGTCTAATTCATTCGGTCTTTTGTTCACGTACCTATTCGTCAAATACTAAACACCCTCTCTGCGCGGTCCTGTGCCAGGTGCTGAGAATATAACGGTGAGCAAGTGACCAAGGCCCTTGTTCCCGCTGAAGCTGCAGTCCAGTGGATGGAGCCCACAGGACACAGACCTACCAGGTCAGTATCCTGACCCTCTTAAACAGACCACTCTGCAAGTAAATTAGAGTTAAACATGATCGCAGGCCATTAGGTCTTTTAAGCCAGCATGGTGTGCAACATTGACGGTTCTTTGTGTTCCCCAGAGGCCTATTAAAGTTATTTGGTTTATATGACGTGTTTGCAGGTTGTTGTTGTTGTTTTTTTAAATGCCTCCATATCGGTTTATTTGTAATAATATCCGGAAAGTGCTAAAAATGTCTTTCATTTTGCAACTTTGCTTTCAGTTACTCTTAATTGTATTTTCTTTCTGTTTATACATTTGGTTGCAGGAAAGAAAAGAGTTTTCATGATGGTTGGTCCAAGCAGGAACTCTCAGTTGTGTTGAGGAATGTTTGGCTTCTCCTCAGCTCATTGATCTCTGGGGTAATCACAGGCAGTCCCCAGAAGACCCTAAGAATGAGAGGCCCGAGGTCTACAGGGCGCTGCTAGATGTATTTTAGCCTCTTCAGAGAACAGAATGCAGCCCCGATACAAGATTGTAAGGTAAATACTAGGCCTCTGTAAAACTTGATGAGTTTTTACTGTCAGCATTTTGAAAATGTATTCTTTTGGAAACACAAGTAAAGCATTACATATTTTGGGTAGTTAGTTCTTTAGTTATATTTAGGATGTTAACCCACAGAGGCATAATGGCATCATTAAAAAATATATGTTTAAGAAATTTAAGAAACCTGCTATCAAAAGAATTGACTACAGATTTAGTTTTTTTTTTTTTTTTTTTTTTTAAAAACCCAAAACAAAGTGTATAATATGTTGTTGTTAAGTGCTGTAGAGTCAGTTCCAACCCATAGTGATCCTGTATAGGGTTTCCTAGGAGCAGCTTGTGAGCTTGAACAGCCGATTTTGTGGTTCAAACTGATTTTGCAATCCAGTGTAGTAACCCACAGAGCCACACCTAGAGTCCTGGCCATAATATACAACAGACAAATGAATACAAATGTTTACACCTTGGTAATTAATACCACATTCAAAATATAGACTACTTCAATTACTCCGCAGAGTTCCCCTTTGTCTTTTTGTAGCCAATCCTCCTGTACCCCTACTTAATTCTGTGAAGTTTTCTTGCTTAATTTTTTCAAAGTTGTTAGCAAAAGTGAAGTGTGAAGTTAATCATAAAACCTAAGGCCACAGCCCACATTTTCATGGATGTAGATTTCCATGAGACGTGGGAGGGTAGTGCCTGGGGAAGCTGGCGCCTAGGACGTACCCTCTGCAGGTGGGCGGGTCATCCACCAGGTCTTCTCTGGTTTCGCAGGGTCCTGGGCGCATGGTGACCTCGCTCGTGCTGGCGCGCCCTTTGCTCCAGGTCTGGGCGGTGGGCGCTGCCATAGCAACGGCCTGGACGCCCAGCCCTTAGGCTGCTGCCGCCGCCGCCGCCGCCGCGGGGGACCCGGTCTTCTCCAGTTCCCTAAGAGTGTGGCGGCGGCGGCCCGGGAGGGGGCGCGGCCCGGGTAGACGAGACAGCCCCCTCCACGGATGCAAGCAGAAGCGGCGGATTTGCTTCCAAGATGGTAAGAGCAAAAGGCTGGGGCTAAGTTAGGGCTAGGACGCCGGATACGGGGCGGCGGGGGCTCATCGACTCTTAGGCCCTTTGCCTGCCAGCCCCTCTCCCAACCCCATTCCCATCCTCATCATCCCTGCTTCCCGCCGCGTTGTGTTTTCTCGCAGCCTTTCCAGAAGCACGTCTACTACCCGCTCGCCAACGGTCCAGAGAGCCCGGTTGCCCCTACCGCCTCTGTCACCGCTGCAGCAGGCGCCGCAGGGGCAGCCGGCATGGCTTGTGTGCCCCCTACCGCGTCTTCTGGACCCCTGCCCTTCTTCCAGTTCCGACCGCGGCTGGAAAGCGTGGACTGGAGGCGGCTGAGCGCAATCGACGTGGACAAGGTGGCGGGGGCCGTGGACGTCCTCACTCTGCAGGAGAACATCATGAACATTACCTTCTGTAAGCTGGAGGACGAAAAGTGTCCGCACTGCCAGTCGAGCGTGGACCCAGTGTTGCTGAAGCTCATCCGCCTGGCGCAGCTCACCATCGAGTATTTGCTGCACTCGCAGGAATTCCTCACCGCGCAGCTGCGCACGCTGGAGGAGCGGCTGCGCCTGAGCTTCCTCGACTGCGAGCAGAGTAAGAAGCTGGTCACCAAGCAGGCGGGGGAGATCAAATTACTCAAGGATGAGTGTAAACGCAGGAAAAAGATGATCTCCAGCCAGCAGCTGATGATCGAGGCCAAAGCCAGCTATTACCAGGTAAGAAACCGCGGCGTAATTAGGATTCATAATCGAGTAAAAAGAAACGCTCGCTCCAGTTAGTTGGGACATTTTAGAAGGTGCCCTGGTAGTGCAGTGTTAAGTACTGAGCAGCCAACCTAAAGTGGGAGGTTTGAGTCCTGAAAGATGTGGCTACCTGCTTCCGTAAACATTTGTTATTGTTAAGTACCATAGAGTCGGTTCCGCCCCAGAGTGACCCTGCACAGAGTTTCCGAGGTTATAAATCTTTACGGGAGCAGAAAGCCTCATCTTTCTCCCTTGGAATAGCTGGTAGTTTCGAACTGCTGACCTAGAGGTTAGCAGCCCGATTCGTAACCACTACTCTACCAGAGCTCCTTTTCATAAACATTTACAGCCTTGGAAACCCTACAGGGACAGTTCTCTGCTGGGCAATGCGTTTGTTGTTTCTGGTTGGGATATTTTAGAACCCTTTCATATGTCATTACCCCTATTTTAAAGGTTTGTACTGACTATCACAGGAAACAGTTTATTTAAGTGGTCAGTAATTTTAACCAACAGATGATACAGTTCTTTACTTTCTCTAGATTAAAAACAAAACCGTGTGCTGCAAATCTCTGGCATTGCACAGACGAAGTGCTTTAACCATTGTGCCACCAGAGTTACATGGGATTAATGATTATTGAACACCCACATTTATTTAGGACTCCTGGTGGCGTTGTAGGATAAGCACTGGACTGCTAACCGAAATGTTGGCAATTCAGACTCACCAGGCGCTTCTCGGAAGCCCTCAACAGGTCAGCTAGGAGTTGGAGTCAACTTGATGGCACTTAACAACAACAATAACAACCCCTCTATTTCGGAGTCTTGGTGTGGTACTGTAGGACAAGCACTACACTGCTAATTGAAATGCTGGTAATTCAAACCCACCATTGCCCTTGGGAGACCCTATACAAGGCTGCTATGAGTTGGAGCCTGTTGGATATTACTTAGCACAATAACCACCTTTATGTAAGCCATCTACTACTGGTTATTGAAGAACCTGTTTCCTCCTTCTAATAGATGTAATGAAAAATTAACTGTATATAGATTGCTACTGAGTTCATCACCAAACAATCTGTAATTCAGTTTGTGGTTTTTCTCTAATTTTTGTTTTGAAATATTTTCAAACACAGAAACTTGCAAGAACTTTAAACCCTTAACGTAGATTCACCAATTATTAAAAAAAGCCACACTTGCCTTTTTTCCTTTCTTTCCCTTGTTGTTGTTAAGTGCTGTGGAGTAGGTTCCGACTCATAGTGACCCTGTACAGGGTTTCCGAGGCTGTAAGTCTTTACGGGAGCAGAAAGCCTCATCTTTCTCCTGCGGAACAGCTGCTAGTTTCAAACTGCTGACCTTGCGGTTCGCAGCCAGATTGGTAACCACTACGCTATAAATATTTGACAGCGTGTTGGCACATACTGCAATGTGCACTTCCTAGGAACAATGCATTCACTTACAAAACAATATTTGTGGGTATTTTTCTTTTTTGTGTTTCCGATCTTAATTTTCAACTGTTATGATTAGATGTTAAACTTAATACATCTAATCATCTAATACATCTTAATAAAATTTACAAAATTTATATTAAGTTTAACATCTAATCATAACAGTTGAAAATTTTGTAAATTTTGAATTATAATAGTAGTCTATATTCATCCTTTTTATTGATTAGTCGAAGGAAACACAGAAGTTACCAAAAGTGTCTGATAACTATATCAAAGCAAGCAACGGATAGATAGGGATGATTTCACATGCTTACTTTCTAGTCATTTTGGCTAAATTTCACTTAAAAGGCATCAGCGTACTTTAATAATAGTGGAGCCCAATCATGAATGAATGGGAGAACTGTGTACTGGGCATAGAAAATTGTGGAGTTAATATTGCTTTGGAATGACCCAACAAGATTGGTGACAGAAAGATACAGACATATATCAGAGATATTGTGGGTTTGGTTCCAGACAATGTCAATAAAACAAATATTGCAGTAAAGTGAATCACATGAATTTTTTGGTTTCCCAATGCATATGAAAGTTATCTTTACATTATACTATTAGTTCTAGTAAGTATGAATGGGAGAAAGATGAGGCTTTTGGCTCCTACAGATTTACAGCCTCAGAAACCCTATACAGGGCGCTGCGAGTAGGAATCAACTCAACAACACTTAAACACCAGAATTATGAAAAGTTTGAAATATTGTCAGCATTACCAAAATGTAACACAAGAGACAAGAAGTAAGCACATGCTGTTGGAAAAATGGTGTCCATAGACTTGCTAGGGCACAGGGTTGCCACAAACCTTCAATTTTTTTTTTTTTTTTTTTAAAGCAGTTATTTGCAAAGCACAATAAAATAAGATATACCTTAAGGGAGGAGAGCAGCTTGGAAAGAATACTGTTAGAAGGACTTAAAAGTGTTCTTCTAGCTTTTCGTAGAAATAACTGTAGTATAATCTTCTAATGATATTTCATATCACTAATTGCATATTTTCACTAATTAAATAAAATGCCACATACAAATAGTGCTAAGATAGCTCTTTGTAAATACGTTTCTTGTACAATGAATAGATAGGTTCTACTGAAGCATTAAAAGAAAAAGCTTATCTTAATCTAGCTTTCATAGTAATTAATGAAACGCCAAAACCTGTAACATACAGAAATTTTATGTGTATAAACTTTTTTTGTTGTTCTTTCAGTTGCATAGAAATACCTGTTAGTAGACAAAGATTTTCAGACTTGAAGGATGTATAAGAATAAATGTAATGACTCAGTTTTAGCAAACAAGTGACACTTTTCAACTCCTGGAAATTCAGCAGACAGTGTGGTATGTTCAGGGCATCCAGACAATCTTTTCCTATAGAGTAGTACAGATATGCTCTGCCTTCCGTTTAGTGGCTTGCCATTGCATGGTTTTGGAGGCTTTGTGCAGTGTGAGCATTGTAGGACTTTATTACCTGAGTAAAATGCCAGGGTTTTAATCCCAACTGTTCCATTGTGTGCAAGCTTTTTGGCATCTAGACCTCAGTTTCCTCATCTGAAAAATGGGAACATTAGCAGTAGTGGCACTGTGGCACTGTGGCACAGTGCCAGACTGCAAAGCCGTTTGAACTGTAAAGTTGGTGGTTCAAGCTCACCAGCTGCTCCTCAGAAACTCTATACAGGGTCGCTATGGGTCGGAATCAACTCGACGGCACTTAACAACAATCACAACCTCTTAGGATGTACCTCTTAGGACTCTGGGTATGGTGCTGTAGGATAAGCATAGGACTACTAACTGCAAGGTGGACAGTTCAAACCCACCAGCTGTTCCTTGGAAACTATATGAGGTCACTTTGAATCGGAACTGATTCGTCAGCACTTAACGAGGAGTCCCTGGGAGTCCGTGTGATTGCGTGGTGTCTGCTGCATAAATGTTGATTTATACAGTGGCTTCCCCATGGAGAACTGTAACCACAATATCATTTCCTTAGGAATCCCCAGGCATTTGTTTTAGGTGCTCACTGCTGCAGCCGTGTGCTGTCGAGTCAGTTTCAATTCATAGCAACCCTGTATTGGATTTCCGAGGATGTAAATTTTTACGGGAGCAGAAAGCCTCTGCTTTGTCTTATAGAGCAGCTGGTGGATTCGAGCAGCTGATCTTGCAGTTAGCAGCCCAAGATGTAACCCACTATATTTCCAGGGCTCCCTGTCAAGTGGGGTATAAAAAGGAAGGTCAGAGGTCATAGTGGAGATGCTGTAGGCATCATTGATCCAGGGAGGGGTGTGGTAAGGTTGCCACTGTGAATAGTTGGCATGTAAATTGGCTGAGACTTCCAGGATGCTACATTCATTGTCATCCCAGGGTTGTTAGCTAGGAATATTTGGACTGTAATAAAATTTATGGTGAGGCACTTGGTTTTGTTAAGGAGCTCTGATTGCGTAGTGGTTATGAATCGGGCTGCTAACCTCAGGGTCAGCAGTTCAAAACTACCAGCTGTTCCACAGGAGAAAAATGAAGCTTTCTGCTCCCATAAAGATTTATAGCCTTGGAAACCCTGTACAGGGTCACTATGAGTCAGAACCGACTCCATGGCACATAACAACAACAACAACAACAACTTGGTTTTGTTTAGTTATTTGACTTGAGGATGAAGTCATTAACTTGTATTTTAATAGGACCTTTTAGCAGCTGGGGAAATCTGACAGCTATGTATAATGATCTGGTTATCAAATTTAAAAAAAATTTCAATAATACCTAAGATTGTTGCAGCGCTGTGGGTTAATGTGCTGGACTCCAAAGTTGGTTTGATCCTCGAGGTTGGCAGTTCAAGCTCGGAAGCCCTATACAGGGTTGCTATGGGTCAGAACCGACTTGACGGCACACAACAACAAGAAGATTATTTCAAGGCTGGTGAGTTTAAACCGCTGACCTTTTAATTCAAACCGACCTTTCGGTCCAATGTTTATCGTACAGCGCCACATCAGGACTCCTAAGATTCCTGTATGTTAAATAATCAGTACTGTGGACTCAAGGTATGGCACTGGACTGCTAACATCAAGTTTGGTGATTCAAACACATGAGCTACTGCTCCCTGGAAACGCTATACAGAGTCTCTCTGAGTCGGAACAGACTCAATGGCACTTCGCACCAGCACCAGCAACATGCTTGCCAGCAAACAGTAACAGGATTTAGGACTCATTTTGGAAGACGTTTGCTTTACAGAGCCAGGAAGCTTACAATTCTTTGTTCCACCAACACAAGCAGCTTTTGGAATCTCAGTGAATTTCTGTTCCTGGCTCCAATTCTTTAAGCCTTTGAAGTTGGAGATGAGCAATGGGGAGAAGTAGGTACTAGGATGAGTTGAAAATTATCCTCACTCTGGCTGTAGAATTTATTTTAATCAACTTTTAGAAAAGACAAATACATCATTTTTTGATGTAATCTTGTTTCAATATACTTTGTCCGTCTGTCAACAAGCCTTCGTATTCCCTTATTTAAAACAATGTTTTAAGCAGAGCTGCGAGCCATGAATGCACCACTGTCTTTACTTCATTTGAGGTGAATCTTGTCCTGGGAAGGCTGCTTTCAGGGGACCAAAGAGATGAAAGTCTGATGGAGCAAGATCAGGACTATAGGGAGGATGTTTTAACATCTCAAAGAGCAGTTTATGCAGTGTCAACATTTTGGGCAGAAGTGTGTGGCTGAGAATTGTCATGCAAGATCACAAAGTCTTTGGATAGCAGTCCTCTGCGTTGAATCTGAAGTTTAGGCATTGCTCATCAGTGAACATCTCACTATAAGGAGTACTTGGTTGATTGTTGAGCCTTTTCCCTGTTAGTGTTCCAATACTGGCAATTGAGACTCCAAGAAAACTGTAGGCATCAATTTTCCAGCTGATGATTGATTGCCTTTTAAACTTTCTTGGTTGCAATTGAGGATATTTCCATGATATACTCTGCCGTTTACTCTCAGCCTCATTGTGATGAAGCCATGTCTCGTCACCAGTCAGAATTAAAAAAAAATTTTTGTACCTTCCAGTATTGGTCCAAATTGTGTTTGCACATGTCCACATGTTTCTGTTTATGGTGTTCAGGAAGTAATTCAAGAACCAACCCCCAAAAAACTTTGGTTTTTTTTTTTAATGTTTTATTGTGAATTATGTGATATTTACATGGGAGAACATTAGCTTTACATTCATCCTATTTTATAGAATTTCATTGCCATGGTTACAATCCCCTCTATGCATCATCAATCAACCAGAGGGTATACCCTGCAGTCCTGCCCCCCAGTCATCAGCATATAGCCCCTTTCCCTCTCTGGGTCTAGAGTCCCCTGGTGCTGTTATCTCTCCACGTCATAGTCTCTGCCTCCATCTCTGGCATCACTGTTTCTCTGGGTGGAGTCCTGCTCTCCGCTCTTCTCCCCTGATAGTTTCAGGGTACTCCGCTCCTGGACTGCAAAGTCAACCACTCCCCTCTTTTTTTCTACAAAACGTCTACCTTTACATTTCCAACTCTTACAGTCAGTCCTGATAACAGTTATCACTATTGTACCACAAAAGATCTATCCCCATCTCCTGTCATCAGCTCCGCCCAGACAGACTAGATACTACTCAGTGGAGATTCTATCTTCCTCTGTGCCCTCTGGATCTAGGCTCCCTCTTGAAAGCTTGTAAGCCAGTTACTTCTTGCCTTTTGCTCGAACTTTTTGAAACTCAAATCTGTCATGATTTGTTTCATAGGCAGAGCCATGGCTGATTTGCAAATGATTTATGACATAATCCACTGTTACTCATATATTCAACAGAACCATTTCACGTGCATACTCAATGTTGTCATCAGCTGTGGACTTGGACAATCGTTTTAATATAACCAGAATGCAGATCGTTTTTGACTCATCCTCGTATTTTGTAATCAGGAGGGTATAGGTTGATCATGTAACTGATAACACAGTGACTTAATGTTTCTGAGCTTTGATTTTTCTAGGGTGGGGTGGGGAACGCCCGGCCCTCAGACTACACATATAAGGCCCATAAAATCATTTGATCTGGCCCTGCCAAAGCAACCACAATTCTAGCCATCGCATCAGGGGTGAGTTAATTAAATGACTAGATATAGTGGGCTAATTTTTAAGTTGATAATTTTGTATAGCTCATGAATGATATAAATACCCAAATGGCCCTTGTCAGAAAAAAGGTTCCCCACCCCTATTTTAGAGTAAAGTTATTGCCTTGGAAATTAAATTTCTTGTTTGTTGTTAAGTTCCATGGAGTCTGTTCTGACTCATAGCAACTCTGTATAGAGTTTCCCAGGAGCCGCTGTTGAGTTTGTATATCCTATAGCGCCACACCAGGACTCCAGGAAATTAAATAACCATTTAAAGCACTTCCTTGGCCCAGGGTCAATTCCTATTGTTGTTGTAAGGTGCCATCGAGTTGGTACCGACTCATAGTGACTTCATGCACAACAGAACGAAACACTGCCCAGTCCTGGGCTAACCTCACAATTATTGCCACGCTTGAGCCCATTGATGCAGCTATTTTCCCAATCCATCCATTGCAATGGATTTTCTCTGACGCTCCACCTTACCAAACATGATATCCTTCTCCAGCGACTGGTCCCTCCTGATAATATGTCTGAAGTATGAGAGATGAAGTTTGACCATCCTGGCTTCCAAAGAGCACTCTGGCTGCACTTCTTCCAACACAGATCTATCTGTTGGTTCTTTTGGCAGCCCAAGGCACGTTCAATATTCTCCTCCAACACCATAACTCAAAAGCATCGATTCTTCTACGGTCTTCCTTATTCACTGTTCAATTTTTACATTCATATGTTGTTGTTGTTGTTGTTAAGTACCGATATGAGGTTCTTGAAAATACCATGACTTGGGTCAACTCTTGGTAAGCACAATGAAAATGTTAACTTCCTTTCTTCACTATCTTTGAGAGGTCTCAAACATCATCCAGATGAATATAATACTGCTGCATTTTGATAAAGGAATCATAATTAATGAGTTCTTTTGTTAATGATTTCACATGAAACCTGTTTAATTTTTATATGTGAAATGTGTACACCATGGTGTACATACTACTCTGTGTTTTTACACTAAGTGTAACACACACAACTCAACATTTTCTTTGCTTGAAGTCATGGAAAGAGCTTCATTCATCATTGTTTGTTTTAACCAGAATGCCACTATATTAACTTATAATGAGAAAGGAAGAGTTGTAAAAGATTGTACAAACCTATTTCCTTCCTACAGGAACATTTGCCTATGAAGTAAAATTGTAACCAGGAGGTTGCCCGGTGAGCATGGACTTAACAAGGGCATTATTGCAAGCTGAGATAAATAGAATTGTTCATTTCCAAATGGGGATGTCAGACTTTTGGCCAAAGTGTCTTCTCTTCTGGGACTTAGGTGTTTACTGCCAACATTGGCTTCTAGACCTTCTTTTCTCTTGCTTGCTTGCCTGACCGTGGCTATCCTCTGAGTGGTCTGTCATTTCTTTGGCCACCTTAATAAGAGCATCATTCTTCCTTCGATAATTCCTGATGTTGCTTGCTTGATTTCCTTTCTGAAATGCTGTCAAGAATATGCCTTGCAAAGAGAAGTTTATGCCATTCATTGGTATCTTGTTGAGTGCTGTCGTGACGGTTCCAGCTCATATAGACACTTTATAGGGTTTCTGAGGCTGTAAATCTTTACGGGAACTGAAAACCTCATCTTTCTCTTGTGGAGTGGCTGATGGATTTGAACTGCTGAACTTGTGGTTAGCAGCCTAACTTGGAAACCACTTCATCACCAGGGTTTCTTTATCTATTTGTGTATCATATCTATCTATCTATCTATCTATCTATCTATCTATCTATCTATCTATCTATCTATCTATATAGATATGTCTCTCTCTCTCTCTCTCTCTCTATTTATCATGATGTCCAATTGTGAGGATTTTTGTTTTCTTTACATTGAGGTGCAATCCATACTGAAGGTTGTAGTCATTGGTCTTCATCAGTAAATATTTCAAGATTGTTGTTGTTAAGTGCTGTCGAGTCAGTTCCAAAATATAGTGACCCTGTATAGGATTTCCAAGGAGTGGCTGGTAAGCTTGAACTGCCGACCTTGTGGTTCAAACCGACCTTGCAGTCCAGCACAGTAACCCACAGCACCACATCAGGACTCTGAGTGTCACAGTTAATATGGTATATTTGGGGGCAGGGAAGCTCACAGAAATGATGACGAAGCACCTGAATTATTATATATTTTTAAAGAAATATCCTCTGTGAAACGTATGTATGTTCTTGTGTAAATCCACAGTCTCTCTCCCACACCCATTTAGCTTGCATATCTATCCATGCATCTACTTTTAGATCATCATTGTCATAGGATTGGGAATATAACTGTATTTACCTCTCTTACCTTTTAACTCTCGTACTCTTCCCAGTGCCTTCCCCTGAATTTCAATTGAAATAAGGTGTGGGAACACTTAACACAGACACTTGGATTTCTTGCTGTCTCCTTTTCAGTGTCATTTTTGTGACAAGGCTTTTATGAACCAAGCTTTTCTACAAAGTCATATTCAGCGCCGCCATCTTGAAGAGTCTCATCTTGGTAAGTAACAAGCTCAATTTTAAAGAACTTTTTGTTTTGCTGATATTTCTTTCTTTTAAAAATGAAACATGGTATATTGTACTTCTCAAACCTGTTTAAAAGAAGTGGCATATTGTGTGTTCATTCATTAAGTAACTGTGGAGCCCTTGCTATGGACCACGCACTGTAGTCCATGGGCTCAGGATACAGCAGTGGACAAAACTGGCAAAAAAGCTCTGCTCTCTGGAATCTTCCACTGTAGTGGAAAGGATCGAGGTGGCAATCTTAAACAAATCAGTGAATAAGTGTTTCCAAATTATGGCAAATGAAATGAAGGAAATGAAGCAGGGAAATGGGATGGAGAGGGACTTCAGGTGGTCAGCAAGACCTCTCTGAGAAGGTGATATTTGATCCTGAGTGATTGGGTGTTCCCAGCCTTGTGAAAATCTGGGAAAAAGCTATCCCAGCTAAGGGAGACACTTATTGTAAGGACTGTGTGGGGAGAGACATACTTGTGGAATCTGTTATGTGTGTTTGTGGAAGAGAAAGAAGGTAGATGGAGTAGAGAGAACAGGGTGGTTGTGGGTGGTGAGGTGGAGAGAGAGGCTCTGGATCACACAGAGCCATATTAGTGCTAAGCAGGAAAGGAGATGCTTTTGTAATTGTAATGGGAATCCATAGGAATGGAGACTAGAAGGTAGGAACAGTAGGAGCCAAAAGCAGAGTAACGTGGCTTTCTCATTTGGACGAGAAGAGAAGACAGGCACCTGGGCCAGGGTGGACCAGAGAAGATGAAGAGAAGTGGAGATGTAGAGAATACGTTTCATAGACAGAGCCCACCAAGATATGACTCAGTATTAAGACGAAGAGATGAAGCAAAGATGAGTCTTAGGTTTTGTTCCACACATTTGGGAAAATGGAGGTAATAGTTACTAAGGTGAGGTGGGAATCTGATGGGGGAGGAGCAAAATCCAGAGTTGTTTTGACTTACATGTAAATTTGAATCAGACATACTGTAGGTAATGCAAGTGGAGATGTTTACAGCTCAAGGTAGAAGCCCAGGCTGGACATACCAATTTAGAGTCTTTAGATTAAAGGAAAGCAGAACTGGATGAAGTTACCTAAATGGGGAAGAGAAGCTAGCTGAGGGCCAGCCCGAGGCTTTTCCAATGTTTGTAACTCAGTAGGAATGTAGAAGAATGAGAAATAACAGCATAGGGACCCCCAACAGTGTGTCGTCATGGAAACCAAGGGGAAAAACCATATTTCCAGGTGGAGGCAGTGGTCAGTTGTATCGCATGTTCCTGAGTCAGAGAGTAAGATGAAGACCACCACTGGACAATTAGGTTTGTCGGGATTCGACTTGTTGGTAACCGCGACTCCAGCAGCTTCAGTGGGTTGATGATGACCGAAAGCTGATCAGAATGAACTGAACTGAGAATGTAGTCAGAAAGTGATATGAAACCTAGACATTGATTTCAGCAGCTTTTGTTGGGAAGACACAAGACATTATCTGGAGGGAGATGTGGCACCAAGTAACATTCTTTTGCCTTTTTTTTTTTTTTTTCCCTGTGAGAGGTGTGTGTGTACTGATGGGAATTCGCCAGGATGTAGAAGGGGAAATTGAAGAAATGAGAGAAGGAGGTGTTACTATGGCTAACTAGGAAATCAGATTTCCTATTATTTAAATGTTCTAAAAATGCAAGTCTAGTTTTCTGTGAACAGATTGAAGCTTTCTTCAGATTGCCTGGTAGCCCACAGGAAAGCTGATCATGATCTTAATTGTTATAAGTATCTCTGGGTGTATACTTGTATCTCTTTAACATGAGCAGGCCTTCCTCTCCGTTATGGGCCGGTCTCGTTCCATTCCTGCCCATTTCAGGTAAATAGACTCTTTAAGGAAAATGGCTAAGCTTTGTATAAAAGGTATAAAATTCCACTGATTTGCCAGGGCCACCGTGATACAACTTAGCAATATACTGGAAAACTTCGAATGATGAAATCTTTGAATGAATCTAAGATTCTTCAGTGTGAAGTTGACCTTCTTTCTCTTCTGTTTCAGTATCTTATTCTATCTCATACTCGTTTCAGAGAATATTTCAGTCTCTGAAATGAGTATTATTTCTTCAGGTCACCTTTGAGACTCTGACCTTCTACTTTGGTTTCCATCCCTTTCATGTCTACACTCACAGACACATGTATATCCATTCAGTCATGTGTACATCTGCATGTAAGTACATGTGCATAAATATTCTTCTCTTCGCTTGTTGCTTCATTTTACAGCTCTCCAGTTTTTGCCCCAGTTAATGGGTTGTGGCCCGAGTTAGCGTGTTGGTTGCTAGCCTTATGCCTGTCATAGCCGCATTCACTGATGGGATTCTCAGCACAGCTCGGTGGGAGCCAAAAGCATGGTGACCCTAGATAGGTCAGTGTGGTGGTACTTACTGTGGAAGCCGTGGCTTCCCTTTCTGGTTGAGACAGTCATCTCTAAGAAGAGACCAGGGTGCCCCTGCATCCTGGCAGCCATGAGGATTCCTTGTCACCATTATCGCTCCCAGAATGGGGCTCTATCACACTGTCTCTGGAGGGGTAGCCCAACCTCAACACAGTGACCGAAAGAGTTTGCCAAAAATAATTCAGTGTCCAACCATATGCTGGGCTCCAAATAAACATCACAGAGTAAAAATGGGCTCATGTGGTGGCATCAAAAAGTGACTCATAGCTCAAAGAAGAGTAGTGTCCCTTTTTCTTGCCAAGAGCACCATTCCCCCCCACCCCCCGGTAGGTTTTCAGGTAGTGCTTCAGAAGAAAGGGTGTCGTAATAAGATCTTTGTATTGCAACAGAGTATAAGAAAAAGGCGCAGACCGATAAGCTTCAGGATGAGATCAACACGCTCAAGGACCAGCTGCAGCTCACCAAGTCTCAGCTGGAGGCGGCGCAGCATGCCCACGCCGTCAGAGTCTCTAAGGTACGGCGCTCCCTTCTGAATCTGTGGTAGATATGCTGTATTGGAGTCCTGGTGTGGCGATGCAGGATAATGCGCTGGACCGAAACGTCAGTTTGAACCACAAGATCAGTGGTTCAAACCCACCAGCCGCTCTTCCGAAACCCTATACGGGATTGGTATGGGTCAGAATTGACTTGATGGCATCCAGCAATAAGATATTGTGCAAATCCATTGGAAACACTGTTAGTGGTTATGAACTAGCCTGAGCATTTGCAACTCAATTTTGACTGTGAATGCCCACCAAAACACCGCAAAAATGATTTGGGGGCTACCAATATGTGTGGTGCTGGGGGCTAATGCGTCAGACTGCAAAGTTATTTGAACTGCAAGGTTTGTGGTTCAAGCTTACCAGCTGCTCCTTGGAAACCCTATACAGGGTTGCTATGGGTCGGAATCGACTCGACGGCACCTAACAACAACAATATAGTTAAGCAAGCAGGCAACCTTGCAAATACAAAATTCATGAATCATGAGGACCAACTGTATTTTAATGTCAATGATCTCTGTGTGATTAAATTGTGGCGTGAACTCCAATAAGCAGAGGATATACATTGGGGTTTGTGGCGCTCAATCAAATGTGACCATATTACCAGTTGACTTTTTAGTATCTTAACCAGCAAAGCACATTGCTGAAAATATAGTTCTGATGTATCTTTTGAAAGCTTAAAACTTAATAGTGCACTTTTCCTTCAGTGATGCAAAAGGACTTGTTTCTATAGAAAATTTAACCCAAATTGCCCTGCCTACAGAGATAATTAATGTCAACATAAATTATTTTTTGCTGCTATCTCTTGCCAGCCACCCCAGATGTCTGATTCTTTGCTTGTTTGTCACCTTGATATTCCTTACTTTTATAAGGTAGATTCTCTTACATCTTAACAGAAATCCCTTCCTGGTCCTGAGATACTCGATCCCTTTCCATTTTTTATATTCTCTTTTTATATTCTTTAAATTGCATGTGCTTTGCATGTTAATGTGATTCACAAGCCATAAAATCTGCTGTTTTAAAGGCATAATTGAGTTGTTTTTAGTATAGTCACAAGATTGTATAATCACCACCACCACTGTCTCATTTCAGGACAGTTTTATCACCCTCAGAGGAAGCCCTGAGCCCCCAGCCCCTGGTTTAGTTATGGGTTTGCCTGTTTCATTTGGATGTGAGCATTGGATTTCAGTATGACCTACTTAGTTATCCGTGCTTCCCGAGCCCTTGCTGTGTGCCAGGCACTCTGCTCTTAGTGCATCCCACGTATTGACTCCTTTAATCTTCATAACAAACCTCCGAGGAAGGTATTGGTACCGTCCCATTCACAGATGAGGATAAAGGCAGGGTGAGGGGTATTCCCATTAGGTCATGCAGTTGGTAAATGGGGAGGCAGGATTCAAACCCAGCCAGCCTATGCTCTTAATATTAGAGCCTACCAACAAAACACAACATTATATTGGCGTGCTAGAACCTACAGACCAATGGGTTATTTATGTATTTCATCTAACCCCTCATTTGTGCTCTTAAGGTGAGAAACCAAGTTCTGATGGGCTAGACCTTGAATCTAGCTCATGTGCATATGAATCTGAATTTGCTTGTTTGTTTGTTTTTTGGTGGGTGGAATAGGCCTTGTTAATTGCCATCAGCTCGATTCTGACATATGGTGACCCCCCATGGGTACAGAGTAGGACTGCTTCATACATTTTCAAGGTTGCCATCTTAGGGAGGAAGCACATCTCCAGGTCTGACTTCCAAGGTGCCCCAGGGTGTGTTTGAACTGTCCACCTTTTGTTCCATCCAGGGATTCCTGGAATGGTGGGCCTACCTTGTCTAAACTGATACGATGTCAAAGATTCTTCTAATGTTCAGTTGATGTTTTCTTTTAAAGTATGTTTATATTTTACATATTTTTGCCTATGATACAAGTTCGTAGAATATAGAAAGCTGAGGCATTGGGCCTCTGTTTTGTATTTTAAGGCATACAAGGACCAAAGGATGCTTACTGTTACCTTGACTTGCATATGTTTTTGTACACAAACCTTCCATTATGTGAGATGTTGTTACAAACCGAGCTGAAACAAGCAATACTAGCTAACACATTTGAAGTGCAGCTCTGACCATTTATTTAAATGTTTGCATATTTGCTTCAGATCAGAATTGCTTAATTTGCTTCAGATCAGAAATTTTAAAGACGTGTTAAAATAATTTCACAGGAATATGAAATGCAGAAAACAAAAGAGGAAGAATTTGTGAGGTTATTTGATAGATGGAAAGAAGAAGAGAAGGAAAAACTAGTTGATGAAATGGAAAAAGTCAAGGAGATGTTTATGAAGGAATTTAAAGAACTAACTTCCAAGAACTCAGCATTAGAGTTTGTAAGTATTAACTTAGAAATTCGCATAATATTCATAGAGTTCATTGTTGCCTTGGGAGGTGGTGTTCGAAAGGCATGATGGTCAGTTGTTAGTTGCCTTCGAGTTGGTTCGGACTCATACTGACCGTGCGTACAACAGAACGTAACGTTGCCTGGTCCGGCACCATCCTCACAATTGTTAGGTTTGATCCAAATTTTGCTGCCACTGTGTCAATCCATTTTGTTGGCCAGAGAACCCCCGAATTCTGTTATTGTCCTTTGGTTTAGATGCTCTTCCTTCCTGAGAGCTTTAAAGGGAGCAGAAGGCACACAGAAGGAGCACGTCAGAAAGGTGTGGCGCTGAGAACAGGGGTGTAGGCACTAAACCCCGTCAGCACACTGTATAGTAAGGATGGGAACGTAGACGGTCTCTCTTACATTAGCTGATTAGGTTTAGATTGGCCTTCAACCATAAAGCCCTTCCTGACTTTCATAACTTTACCACTGTTTGCCAAGGCTGACAACCGATTACCAGTGTGGGAGGAGAAGGAAGCAGTCTTAGAAAACCAGAATTAGAACCTTTTCCAGTCTGAGTCCTTGCTCCAGTCCTGACTGGTGAAGGGGGCAGAGCAGGATATGGCTGAATGAGCCAGCTTTCCTGGCCACACTGGCCAAATGGCCCTAATCACATGCTTGAGTGAGAAGAGACTGTGAAAATGTCTAGTCAGTGTCCTCCAACTAACAGTTCACCTGAGCTCCCAGCTGCGGCAGGTTGGAGCCTGAGTCATCCTTGGGGAGGAGAGGGGAAAATAAGTACTTGAGCACCCTCTAGGGGCCAAAAAGTTTTATCAACTCAAATAGAAGATTTTGTTGGAATGCTGCTAATAAGACCTTTCCCTCAAACTCTTTAAACGCTTGCATAGGGGTCGTGTTCTGGTTTTGTACAGACAGTGGACCAAGAGTGGTTATTACATTTTTGAATGGTTGAAACAAAGAATCAAAAGGATATTTCATGATGTGGAAACGGTGTGTGTCCGTAAGTAAATTTCTGTGCCTGTCGGTAAATCTTTTTCATTTATGTATCATCTGCAGCCCTGAGACAGTCCTGAGACAGTGGCACTGCCCTCAAAGCCAAAAATATTTACTATCCGGCCCTTTGCAGAACAAGTTTGCCGGCCCCGTCATCTTTATAGTGCAAATGTGACGCAGTGTGAGCAGTTGGTGAAGGTGAAATGGGGGTTCATTATACAATTCCTTCAACGTTTCCCCAGTTTGAAATTTTCTAAGAAAAAGTTGAGGGGAAATAGCTTTGGATTGCTGGTGGCTCATTGTCTGTGTGTAGAGCTTCCTGTGGGCTGTTAGCCTCACTGCTCCCTCTCCACAGTTCCTGTTCCTCTTTCTAAGCCTCAGAATCTTCGTTTACCGCGTGTAATCTGGGAGCCTCAGAACTCATATCTGTGACATCTTCTCAGTGAGATGCTGAATTATCTACAGAGGTGGATTTTGATACTAAACCCTATAAGGGCAGCTTCTTGAGTCGTCCCCATGAAGGCCACATTTCCCTCCTCAGAAATGAGCTGCCAGTTACATTCCTTCTGTTTGAGATTCCCTCCGTGGTCATGCCCTCTGCCCCCAGGATAATTGTGGAATAGGACTTGATGTCGCAGCTTTATTGTTGCTAGTGTGGCTCTGTAGGATCAAGCACTGGACCACAAGGTCAGTTTGAACCTCAAGGATGGTGCTTCAATCCCACCAGCCACTCCTCAGAAACCCTATACAGGGTTGCTATGAGTCGGGCTTAGGGGGACATGTGAGTGACAGCTAATGGTTATGGGGTTTTTTTCTGATCTGATGACAGTGTTCTAAAATTGATTGTGGTAACAGCTGCACAAGTTTCTGGATATACGAAAAGACACTGGACTCTGTACTTTAAATGGGTACATTGTATGGTACAAACTGCATCCCAATAAAACTGTTGTTTAAAAAACTACAGGGGTTCTTGTTAAGAGCCATCAAGTAGGTTCCAACTCATGTTCTTGTTGTTAAGTGCTGTCGAGTTGGTTCCGACCCATAGCGACCCTGTATAGGATTTCCAAGGAGCATCTGGTGAGCTTGTACTACCTCAAATGACTTTGTAGTCCAGTGCATTAGCATCTTCCTCCAATCCTGATGCCACAGTCTTCTGCATATAATTCAGCTTCTTGGATTGTTTGCTCAGTATGCAGAGTGAATAAGTATGGTAAAAGAATACAACCCTGGTACACATCTTTCCTGATTTTAAACCATTCAGTGTCCTCTTGTTCTGTTCAAACGACTGCCTCTTAGTTCCACATACACACAATTAAGTGTTGTGGAATACCCATTCTTTGCAAAGTTGTCCATAGTTTATCATGATCCACATGGTTGAAAGCCATTGCAAAGTTGTCCATAGTTTATCATGATCCACATAGTTTATCATGATCCACAAAGTGAAAGCCATTGCGTAGTCAGTAAAGCTCAGGTAAATATCTTTCTGTTATTCTCTGCTGTCAACCAAGATCCATCTGACCTCAGCAATGATATTCCTTCCACATCGTTGTCTGAATCTGACTTGAACCTCTGGAAACTTCTGTGTCAATACACTATTGCAGTCATTTTTGAATTGTCTTTAGCAAAATTTTTATTGCATGAGATATTAATGATATTGTCCAATATTTTCCAGTCACTTTAGCATCTCTATACTTGAGAGCAAGTTGCAGAGCCTCTTTTGACATCAACTTTGGTCTTTTCTTTCTTTCCTGTCTTTTTAATGGGCATTTGCTTTCCCCACATATGATGTCCTTGATATCATACCACAACTCTACTAGTCTTTGCTCATTAGTGTTCCATGATTGTGTCTAAATTCAGGTGGTATATACTCAAGGTTGTATTTTGCCTCTCATGGACTTGTTTTAGTTTTCTTCAGCCTGAACTTGTGTATGAACAATTAATGGCCTGTCCCACAGTTGGTTCTTTCTGGCCTTGTTTTGACTGATGATACTGAGCTTCTTCATGGTCTTTTTCCATAGATGTAGTCAATTTGATTCCTTGCATATTCTTTCTGGGGAGATTCTCATGTATAGTTGCTGTTCATGTTTGCAATGATTAAGACTTGCCAAAGTCTATCATGCGATCTTCCAGTCACATTTTCCAATTATTGATCCTTCCTCTTTGTTTCCAACCTTTGCATTCCAATCACTAGTAATTTTCAATACATCTTGATTAATGTTTGATCAATTTCAGACTGAAGAAGTTGGTAGAATGCTTCAATTTCATCAACACTGGCTTTATTGGTCAGTGCTTTAATTTGAATAATATTAGTATTAACTGGTCTGTGATATGTCTGTGATATTATCCTATCACAGACAGCATTGTGCTTTACAATAGATCTTGAATGTTCTTTTTGACGATGAATTCGATGACATTCCTCTTCAGTTTGTCAATCCAGCATAGTAAACCATATGATTGTCAGATTCAAAATTCATCACCAGTTCATTTCAGCTCACTAATGCCTGGGATTTTGATCTTTATGTGTTCCATTTCATTTTTGATGACTTTCACTTTTTCTAGATCCATACTTTGTACATTCCATGTTCTGGTTATTAATGGATATTTGTAGCTGTTTCTTCTTATTTTGAGTTGTGCTTCGTCAGCAAATGAAGGAAGGTCTGGAAAGTTTTTTGTTCCATCCATACCATTAAGGTTAACTGTACTTTTGTTATCATTTGAGTTATTAATGAAGAAATATTGTTACATATTATCTAAAGTTCATGTAGATCCTTAGTTTTTTCCTCATTTTTCCTGTTTTCTGTTTCATGGGTCCCATGTTACATTTAGTTCTTGTGTCTCCTTAGCCTCTCTTGTTTGTTTGCTTCTTAATTGTGATTTGAGTGAAAGTGTACAGAATGGAAAATTAATTTTTCATTCTAGAATTTATAGACATTTTGTTTCATGACATTGTTTGCAGCCCACTCAGTGTAACAGCGCTCTTCCCACTTTGATACCTAGTTTCCCTGTTTCTGTTTGTCCTTCTTTTATGGCCCTTTTCTGCCTCTTGTGCTTTGTTTGGGGGCATGTGCTATCCCATAGCATGCTTTTGTCTGTGACAGTTTCTGAGATTGCCTTTGTTTTTGATAATGTTGATAATTTTGACAGTTAACTGGTCACTGGTGGTTTCTAGGATACAGTTATAGTGGGGTTGTGTGATATTTTTCTCTTGATTAGAGTGGGTTTGCTTGTGGGCTTTGGGGAGGAAGGTCACTGAGGTCAGGTGCTTTGCTCATCACGTTAGATCAGGGGTGTATGGTTTACAACGGTTGAAGCCGACCTTCGTCCCCTGGCTGGGGTAATGTTTGCTAGGTTTCCCCCTCCTCACATTGTACTCTTTGGAAGGAAGTTGGGATTTATAGCTCATTCTTACATAGTAGGGAGCTAATGCTCATCCAAGCTTCTATTTAAAAGTTAACATATCATAATTCTGTGGATTTAGGAGGGTTTTTACTGTTAGTCACTTTGGGAATAAAGGAATGATGGTGGTTCAGGTTGACTTCACCTTCCATGCCTGAGACCTGTGTTAGATTTCTGGCCAGTTTACCTTCTCAGCAGCCACTATCCTTCTCCCAGTCAAGATGAGTGTGTTGCTGTGATGCTAAAGAGGGTTCATTGGTGCTTCCTCACCTAGACAGACTAGAGGGAGAGAGGCCTGATAATGGACTTCCCAGAATCAACCAGCGAGAACCCTGTGATGGCAGTGTTTGGATCTGTACCTGGTCATGGGGATGGTATAGGACCACGCAGCGTTGTACCTGGGTTGCCATGACAGTACCGACTCAGTGGCAGCTAGGAACAACATCAGACTTTAGAAATAACAACCAAAGGGTAAAATTAAATTTAGGTCCCAAATTTGCACCCAGTTCCTTGTGTTTGGCAACTGGTATTTGCATCTCAAGTTCTTATAGATATGCTGTCTAAGATTAGCAAGTTCCACGTCCCTTTTGTGATTTTTTCCCCCCTGGACACTTTCAGTGATACCAAAAGTGGTAAAAGGGAACGGGACTGGCCGAGGGGCGAGGGAGGTGGGAGAAGCATAGTGAGCTTTCGATAGGGACAGAGTCAAGATGTTGTTACTGGTGTCCTAACTTTATTTTCTGTTTCACTCTTTTAATTTAAAAAGGATAAGCATTTGCATCATTGACTTTGAATTTTGCCTCCTAGCAATTGTCCGAAATACAGAAGTCTAATATGCAGATCCGGTCCAACATAGGTACGTTAAAAGATGCACATGAGTTTAAGGAAGACCGTCCTCAGCATCCCCAGGATTTCCAGAGTGTGATGCAACTTCTTGACAGCCAGGTAGGTAACACTCGGTATGAGCAGCATGTCTTAATTTTTCCTAGTGATGTAATCTATAGTCAGTGTAGTTTACAGAATAATAAAAAAGTATCTTCTTTCCTTTACTTTGAAGGTGACTGATTCTTTTTGTTTGCTTGGTTCTTAATACCTGTGAAATTCGTAATAGGTGTTCAATCAATCCTAGTTGATTGACCAGTAGAAGTGGATAAAGAGTTCTGAAATTAACGACTCGAAAAATGGTTTCATTGTTTTTCGAACACGTCTACTTGAATTGGCTAGTATCGCCATGCTGTTGTTGTGTGCCATCGAGTTGGTTCTGACTCTTAGTGACCCTGTATTGCGTTTCCACGGCTGTAAATCTTTACAGGAGAAGAAATTCTCATCTTTATTCCAAGGAGCAACTGGTAGAGTCGAACTGCTAATCTTGTTGTTATCAGCCCTATGTGTAATTCACTACACCTCCTTAGTATTGCTGTTGCTGTTGGTAAGTGCCATCGAGTCAGTTCTGACTCATAACAACTTTGTATAGGGTTTCCGAGGAGCAGGTGATGAGTTTGAACCGCCGGTCTTGCGGTTCAAACCGGACTTGTAATCCAGAGCTTTATCCCACAACATCATACCAGGACTTCTGGTATTGCAATAGTTTTTGATTTTTATATTTTAGATGTCAGTGCTCACTGTTGAAGACATAAGATGGCATATTGAAGCTCTGACTTGATGTTTAGAGCTCTAAGCCTACAGTTGTGTTGGCAAATGAATGATGTTTTACCTTGATCAAAACACAATTAAAATCATTCAAAAGTCAACCCTGTAATAAGCACATTCTTGGTCATACTGGCTCAGAGAAACAAACTTTTTTTAAAAAACAAAAAAACTAGGAAGCAAAAATGAAAGCTTTTGACTTTTAAAAACCAGATAAGCATATGTCATTTTAAAAGGTGAGTATGTTTTTGAAATAATGGACAGCGGCCACTGCCTCTTAACTTGCCTTGCTTCTCGCCTTTATCCCCAAATCCACTGTCTCCAGGCTGCCCGTGCCGTTGTCCTGCCGGAAATACCTTCAGTGATGCCCATGTTTGACTGTAGAAAGTCCAGACTCTTGAACCAACATTGAGTCCAAGGCCCTTCAGGATCTGGACTTTGCATCATCACCGCCATTCTCTGACCTCATCTGATACTCCTGACAGTTCCCAGAACACGGCACTCTCTTTTCTGCCTGTTCTTGGGCTGCAGTCTTTGCTTGCCACGCCCCTCCCAGTTTTCAGGACCTGTCTCTTACTTGTTTTTTACAATTCAACTTGGAAGACACCTTTTCCAGGGAGTTATCCCTGAACCTCTGGGTTTCAGAGTAGGGACTGTTTGTTAATCTTCACTTGCCCTGCGTTTGGTTATCCGACAAGGTGCCTGGTACATGGTTAGGGCCAGGAGTTGTGTGCTGAGCTGACAGTTGTTTCCAGTGGTAGCATAGCTTGTCTTTTACAAATTGAAGGACACAGCTTGGAAAATGTAAGGTCCCACCTGCATTTCATCCTTTTTTTTTTTCTTCCTGTGAATTGTGTCACTAGTTCAGAACCCTGAACTCAAAAACTTCCATGTTTTTTTTTTTAGCCCTTAGAGCATGGCATGAGCTGGAACACTGGAACCTATTTTTGCAAATAAAGTTTTATTGGAACACAGTCACCCCCATATGCATGTGTGTTGGCTATTGTTGTTCTCCCACTACCAGTTATGATGGCAACCCGATAGTTTACAAAGCCTAGACTATTTATTGTCTGCTCTTTACAGAAAATGTTTGCTGGCACATAACTTTGTTGTTAAGTGCCGTTGAGTTGGTTCCCACCCATAGTGACCCTGTATCAGGTCTCCGAGGAGTGGCTGGTGAGTTTGAACTGAAGACCTTGCAGTTAGCAGTCCAGTGCTTATCCTATCCCAAGTGCTGTCAAGTTAGTTCCGACTCGTAGTGACCCTGTATATGGTTTCAAGGAATGACTGGTGAGTTTGAACCACCGACCTTGAGGTTCAAACCAACTTTGTAGTCCAGCTCATTAACCCACAGCACCACACCAGGACTCTGTATCTATAGCGCCACAAAATGACAACTAAAACTTTACCCAATAGTTTGGTACTAAGACATGTGTCTTCTGACACCAACTCTGAAATGAATCTATTCAGTCTTGTTCAATTGTGATTCTTATTGCATTGTAGTTACTCTGACATTAGCCTAGAGCTAGGTCCGAACTCACACATTAGGGGCACGGTCCTCCAAACCGCCATGCCTGACCAAGACTTGAGGTACCAGCCACAGTTCAGGGGTTCCCAGGACATCCGCCTTTCTGACCTGCAGGCTACTCTTGAGTTGGATAATTTGCTAGATATTGATTCACAGAACTCAGGAAAAACAATTACAATTATATGATTGCCATGCAAATGAAGAGATGCATAGAGCAAGGTCTAGAAAGGTCCCAGACATGAGCTGCTGTGTCCATAAGGATATGTTATTCTCTTAGTGCATTGGTTACTGCCACCAATCAGAAAGCTCACATAAGCTCTAGTGTGCAGTGTTCACTGGGGCTTCATTACATAGGCATGATTGACTGATATTAGGCGGGTCTTTCTGGTTTGGTCAGTCCTCAAGATCTAGAGTCGTCTTATTAACTTAAGTTATCAAGTTGATCTGGAACGCTCCATGATTAGCAAAGACACTCCAGCCATTAGGGAAATTCCAAGTGTTTATGGGAATCCCACAGATATTGAGCTTTTCCATTGCCTCTTTGCACAGATGTAGTCAATTTGATTCCTGTGTATTCCACCCAGTGAGCTCTGCATGGATAGTTACTATTTATTTGTTGTAAAAAGGCATTTATAGTGACTACATTGTTGGCATTACAGAATTCTATCATGTACTTGGTCATCGTTTCTATCACCAAGGCCATATTTTTCAACTACTGATCCTTCTTTGCTTCCAACTTTCACATTCAAGTCACCAGTGACTATCAATGCATATTGAGTGCTTGTTTGATTAGTTTCAGACTGCAGAAATTAGTCCAAGTTTTCAATCTGTTTTATATCTTTGGCATTAGTAAGCAGTTGGTGCATAAATTTGAATAATTGTTGTATTAATTGGTCTTCCTTGTCATCATATGAATATTATCCTATCACCAACCACAGACAGACTTGTGCTTCAGGATAGGTCTTGAAGTGTTTCTTTTTTTTTTTTCTTGTGGGGGATGTACACCAAAATATTCAGGGATATATAATCATTTAAACAACCAAAGGACACATTCTGAAAGCCTGCCTCCTGGCTGCCAGCAAACAGCCTTTCTCTTTCCATGAGTCCAGAGTCCTCAGCTGCTCTATTTTGAAGTGTTCTTTTTGACAGTGAATGTGATGCGGTTTCTCTTCAATCTGTTACAATGACAGTATCATTGATATTATATGCAGGCAAAATTGTTTTGGAGATAATTTTAAAAATGGTTGTAGCAGTGCATTGAAAGGGAACTGCTAGCATTTCAAGCTGAATTTAGAGAAATGATGTGGAATGAGAGGTATCATTGCTCATGTCAGATGGATTTTGGTTGAAAGCAGAGAATACCCAAAAGATGTTTTACCTGTGTTTTACTAACTATGCAAATGCATTTGGTTGTGTGGATTATAACAAATTAAGGCTAGCTTGCAAATTATGGGAATTCCAGAACACTTAGTCGTGCTCACGTGTAACCTGTATATAGATCAAGAGGCAGCGGTCACTCGAACAGAACAAGGGGACACTGAATGGTTTACAGTTAGGAAAGATGAGCACCAGGGATGTATCCTTTGACCTACTTATTCATGCTGAGCAAATAAATGGAAAACCTGGGCTGTATATGAAGAACGTGACAAGATCAGTGGAAGACTCATTATCAACCTGTGATATATACATGACACAAAACCTTGTTTATTGGAAGTGAAGAGGATTTGAAGCACTTACTGATGACTGATGAAGATCAAAGACTACAGCCTTCAGTATGGATTACAACTCCACATAAAGAAAACAAAAATCCTTACAACTGGACCCATAAGCAACATGATAAAAAGAGAAAAGATTGACGTTGTCAAGGATTTCATTTGATTTGGATCAACACTCTTGCAATTAGCAGCCAAGAAAACAAACGACACATTGTACTGGGCAAATCTAATGTAAAAGATTTCCTTAAAATGTTAGGAAGCAAAGATATCACTTTGAGGATTAAGGTGCATGTGATCCAAGCCATGGCATTTTCAGTTGCTTTATGTCCATGTGAAAGCTGGACAAGGAATAAGGAAGACCATGGAAGAATTGATGCCTTGGAATTAGGGTGCTGCTGAAGAGTACTGAATGTACCACAGACTGCCAGAGGCATGAACACCTCGGTGTTGGACAAAGCACAACCAGGATGTTCCTGAGGAGTGAGAATGATGGGAGTATGTCTCATGTACTTTGGACGTGTGATCAGGAGGGATGGCACCTAACGACAACAACAGCAGAGACCCCTGGGTGGCACAAACTCACTCAGCTGTTAACTCAATAACTGGGGTTCCACCTTTGCCAGAAGCAAGGCCTGGCCATCTGTTTCCAAAAATTCAGCCCCAATAAGACAGAATCTCCTTGATGGTAACTGGTTGTCAAGGACAGAAGACTTTACTCTTTTGAGTAAAGGAAAGTAATTCTTTTCCCTATGAAGTATCAGCTCAAAAGGAAGCTTCTGTCAGTTTCCATTTCGTAGCTGCACGTAAGTGACTCTTGTTTTATTGTTTTGCAGGAAAGCAAGTGGACAGCTCGACTTCAAGCACTTCACCAAGAACACAAGAAAGAAAAGGGGCGGGTAAGACCAAGAAAGCAGTGATGTACTAACGGGAAGCTTTTTACATGAATGCGTGCTCTTCTTTTTAATAAAAGTAACATCTGTCCACATACTAAAATTTGTGTAAGGAAAAATAAAATTACTTATGTAATTCTAATGCCCAGAGGTCAAAACTGCTCCTACATTGGCATAAGCTTCTTTCATTCTTTTTCTCCATGCTATATTGTTGTGTTCCAGTAAATTGATTCCGACTCATAGATAAGACAGAATCGAACCACCTCAGAAGGTTTCCAAGGTTGCAGTCTTTACGCAAGCAGACTGCCACATCTTTCTCCTGCTGAGGAACAGTTGTTGTTGTTAGGTCCCGTGGAGTCGGCTCTGACTCATGGCGACCCTGCATAGGGTTTCCGAGGCTGTAAATCTTTACGGGCAGAAAGTCTTATCTTTTGCCCATGGAGCGACAGGTAGATTTGAATTACTGATCTTGAGGTTAACAGCATAGCTCATAATCCATGACGCTACCAGGCTCCTTAGATGTATAATAGGTACATAATATGTAGAATGAAGAATATTTAAATGACTAACATTTTATCAACTTGTATTCCTTTTGAGTAGGAAAAATACTGAAGCAAAAATAAAGAAACTTGTAAACATTACCAGAATCATACCAAAACAAACAAAAAGTAAAAAATCAAAAATTTTTGTAGTTCTTGATGAACTTAGGAAAGTTGGTTCTTAATCTAATGATTAAGTTGTATCATTTCTAGAAAAGTTAAATAGGAAACATGTCTTTTCTGCGTCCTTCATAATATCATTTAGTCATGTTAATGATTAGAGTCCTAGTGTGACACTGTAGGATAAGCACTGTACTGCTAACTGCAAGGTCAGTGGTTCAATCCCGTCAGCTGCTCCTTGGAAACCCTATGCAGGGTTGCTGTGAATTGGAACTGACACTATGACATTTACCAACAACAACACGTTAATGATTTACAGTGTTTGTACCGAGATACATATATATATATAGAAATTTACCTGCAAATCTGGTCACAGAGCAGTTTTTATAGACTGAAAACACTATTACAAATTCAGTGATTCATTTAGAGATAATTATTGAACACCTGGAGTCCAGATGTGGTGCTGTAGGATAATCACTAGACTGCCAACTGTAAGGTTGGTGGAAACTCTTTATCGTGTTGATTCACAGAGCCCTTAGCCAACAAGTTGAGCATCTAGCAGCCCTGATGGCACTGTAGTATAAGCATTGGACTGCTCATTGCAAGGTCAGTAGTCCAAACTCACCAGCTGCTCTGTGGGAGAAAGATGAGGCATTCTGCTTTTGTAAAGATTTACATGGTTGCTAAGAGTTGGAATCGACTTGATGGCAGTAGGTTTTATTGAGCATCTACTCCATACAGGACTTTATAAAGGCCAAAGATATATGCAGAACAGAATCCCAGCTCTCTAGTTGTTTGTAGTATAGAAGGAGAGTAGAAGTTAATATGCAGGTAACTCAGGCTGTGATAAATGCAGAGTGCTCTAGTCATTGAAAAAGAGCTTATTAAAATGTGTGGATAGTACTCATATTTATTTCTCCAGCCTAACCCAAAACCACCCCTCTGAGCTTCAGATGAGATAGCCAGCTTTATAGTCGACATCTTCATGAGCTTCACAAACTTGACATATTTAAACTGAAGTTCTTGGGCTGGTTCCTAGGGAGATTTTACTTTGGTTAAATACAACCAAGTCCACTCAGTTGCTTATTATCTTGCTTTATTTTTCTCTCTTCCTAAGTCCCTGAGTCCAGACCATCAGTAGGCCCTGACATTTATCTCATACCCTTGTTCTTTTATACATTTCTATTACCTCCATCCTTGACCAAGCTTCCAACAGTTCTAAAAGGACCCACTAACTTGCTGTTAGGTGCCATTGAGGTGGTGCCGTCAAGTTGGTACCGCCTAATGCTGACCTCATGCACAGCAGAATGAACCACTGCTGGTTCCTGGGCCATCCTCACAGTTGTTGTTACACTTGAGCCCGTTCCTGCTGCCTCTGTGTCAATCCATCTCGTTGGAGGGCTTCCTCTTTTTTGCTGACCCTTCATTTCACCAAGCATCATGTCCTTTTCCAGAGACTGGTCCCTCCTTATGATAACACTGGGAATACCATGGCTTGGATCAGGTGCACCTTAGTCTTCAAATTGACATCTTTGCTCCTGAAGTTTCAAGAGGTCTTATGCTACATATTTGCCTGATGTAATATGTTGTTTGATTTCTTGTTTTCTGTTTTTTAAAACCTTATAAAACTTGAAGGTTTATAGACAAAATCATCAGTTTTACATTCAATAGGTCATACCCTTTGTTTCATCTCAATGATTGCAGTCCCCTCCGTGGAACAACAGTGATCGCATTTTCTCCCTGTGGTTCCGATTTCCATCCTACCCACCACCTTCCCACCCCTTCTCACCTTTGTTCTTAGGTACATGTGACCCCTTTGATTTTGAATGACTGTTCAATCATTCATAGCGAGCACACCTGACAAGTCTTGTTGTTTCCCCTATAATCATGCTTAGTACATTCAATGTTCTGATTATTAGTGTAGCTTCACTGCTGTTTCTCTTCATTTGGAATTGTGAAGGACGAGAGCTTTACTCCATTTCTGTGCCATCACCGTCAACTCTACTTTGAGAAGGCAGCGCTTCCCTGGTTGTATTTTGAGTGCCTTCCAATCCGAGGGCTTCATTTTCCAGCACTGTAGCTGATAATATTCTGGTGCTATTTATAATGTTTCTATATTCAATATTCTGGTGCTGACAGTGTTTCAGTGCTCTTCATAAGGTTTCCAGTAACGATTCAGAAGTAGTCCGTCTCTACTTCTTTCTAGTCTGTCTTCATCTAGAAGCTCACCTGAAACCTGTCCACCGTGGGTGACCCTTGTTGTTGACTCATAGCGACCTTGTATAGGATTTCCAAGCAGCGCCTGGTGGGTTTCAATTGCCTACTTTACAGTTAGCAGTTCAGTGCTTATCCTACAGTGCCATGCCAGGTATTTAGTTAAAAATGACACACTGCAGCAATGAAATATTTCTCTACGGCCTTTCTTAAAATGGTCTTGTGTGGTGAATTATTTAATATATCTCTTCTTGCCATTGTCTATGTAACTCCCGCCAAATGACTTTTTTTTTCCTGATGGTCATGGATAGGCAAAGGTTGGGGAAGATGTTGATAGGATTATATGATTCCGTTTTGAGGGATTGTTAATAAGGCTAATTGTAATTGTAAGACCTTGAAATGCTGACGAGGGGATCAGTCAGGTTCACCATCCTGCTGGGTGTAAAGTGAGCCCTATCAGTAACTATAGGGTGAGTCTCAAGGCTGTCATAAAAGAAGAGCCAGGAGTGTTTTCCTTTGGATCCTGAGGTCCCTGTGCATTGAAGCTTGGACCGGGGGCAGAAAGCTGTGACACGAGAGGAGTGGCAAAGGAGCAGCTGCAGTAGGACCAAGAGCCAGAACAGGAGTCACAGAGGTGGGCTTCCCGTCCACTGAGCGAGTAATGTTGAGTGCCTTCAGGCAGGAGGCTCGTTTGTAGAGGGGATTCTTTCAGGTACTCAATTGAGGAAGCAAGAGCCAAGCACCTTTGGACAGATGCTTAAAGCTGAGTGGAGTGCCCTTTGGGCATTTATTAGCAGTGGTAAAAGACGTTTGTAACATTGCCTGAGTAGGGCAGAGGCCAGGCCAATAGATGGAAGGCCAGAGAGAGGCTTGTCTGGAGGCACGGCTGCCGTGACCAATGAAGTGTATTCTGGACATTTCTGATCCTGAATTACAACCTGTTAACTTCCCTAGTAAAGCCCATAACTGTGAGTAAGCTTTGTGAATTCTGTGTGGCCACTGCAATGAATTATCGAATTCTGTTGCTACTGATCAAGTCCTGGTGTGGCGATGTGGGATAATGCGTAGACTGCAAAGTTGTTTGAACAGCAAGATCAACGGTTCAAGCTCACCAGCTGTTTCTCGGAAACCCTATACAGGGTCGTATGGGTCGGAACCGACTTGAAGGCACTTCACAGCAACATTGATACTGATATTATTGTGGCACTCTAGATAATGCACTGGACCACAAGGTCAGTTTGAACCACAGTGTTGGCAGTTCAAACCCTGTACAGGGTCGCTATGAGTTGGAACTGACTCTACAGCACTTAGCAACAACAACTGAGAAAGAAAGTGTTGTGGCAGAGTAGACAGGGATGGGCAACTTGGACATTGGCTACCCAAAATGGGGGGGGAGGGGGCTACGAAGGCAAGAAGTGACTGGCTTACAAGCTTTCAAGAGGGAACCTAGATTCATAGGGCATGGAGTGGAGGAAAGTAGAATACCACTACTTAGAGTAGTATACAATCTGTTTAGGTAGGGCTGATGAAATGAAATCCGGATGGATCTCTTGTGATCCGGATGGATCTCTTGTGATACAATTGTGAATAATTGCTATCAGGACTGCTTATGAGGGTTGGAACTGTAAAGGTAGATGTTTTGTAGCAAGGAGGGGAGTGATTAACTTTTCAGCCTAAGAACGGAGGTCCCTGGGACCATCAAGGGAGAAGAGCAGAGAGCGGAACCCTACCCAGTGAGAAGCAGTGATGCCTGAGATGGAGGCAGACATGATGACATGGAGAGATAGAGCAGCTGGGAACTTTAGACACAGAAGGAGAGAGGCTGTGTGCTGATGACCGGGGGTCAGGCTTGTAGTGTATACCCTTTGGTTGGTTGATGATGCATGGAGGGCATTGTAACCATAGCAATGAAATGATATACTATAGGATGAATGCAAAACTAATGTTCTCCCATGTAAACTATCACATAATTCACAATAAAACATTTTTTAAAAAAAGAGAGAGTTCTGTGTGAGGGATGACTGGTTCCCGAATGGATAAAGGAAGTTGGAGTATGGAGGCATGTCTGACTTTCGCCTCTTAGGAATCCGCCTTGGGCTGATTATGGTGATTCCCCTCCTTCCCCCCTGTGAA